TAGAAGTACAAGATACCACCGTAATCCTTAATCGAGGTCGAAATTGAGCTCTCAGTGAATTTTCGCACGTCAAGGAGCAAACCGCCTCGTTCCTTAAATTGCAAGGATCCTTGTGTAAATAAGGAAACGATCATGCAATCTGCTAAGACATGAAAAAAATGTCATTTTAATTAATTCGCAAATTAAAAATACAAGATACCACCATAATCCTTAATCGAGGTAAAAATTAAGCTCTCAGTGAATTTACGCATATCAAGGAGGAAACCGTCCCGTTCATAGATAGCAAGGATCCTTATGAAAATAAAGAAACGATTATATCATTCGCTAGGACATGAAAAAATGTCCTCATTTCAATTAATTCGCAAATTAAAAGTACAAGATACCACCATAATCCTTTATCGGGGTCGAAATTAAGCTCTCAGTGAATTTTCGCACGTCAAGGAGCAAACCGCCTCGTTCCTTAAATTGCAAGGATCCTTGTGTAAATAAGGAAACGATCATGTAATCTGCTAGGACATGAAAAAAATGTCCTCATTTTAATTAATTCGCAAATTAAAAGTACAAGATACCACCATAATCCTTAATCGGGGTCGAAATTGAGCTCTCAGTGAATTTTCGCACGTCAAGGAAGAAACCGTCCCGTACCTTAGATTGCAAGGATCCTTGTGAAAATAAGGAAACGATTATATCATTCGCTAGGACATGAAAAAATATCCTCATTTTAATTAATTCGCAAATTAAAAGTACAAGATACCGCCGTAATCCTTAATCGAGGTCAAAATTAAGCTCTCAGTGAATTTTCGCACATTAAGGAGCAAACCGTCTCGTTCTTAAATTGCAAGGACTCGCTCGAGGGAATCAAGTTGCATCCATTAGGAAGAATTTGGGAATTCCGCGAACGTCCATTTGGGACCGCCTCGAATATATTTCCGGATCCCTCTCACGTTTCCTCGGCAAGTCCCGTAGAACTCGTCCCATGATAAGTCCCATAAGTCCCTACCCTTGTAAACCGAAGTCTCCGTAAGAAAGACAGCTGATCGCCGATAAACCTTGGCCGGGGCTCAAAATAAATTCCTACGATTATCCCGAGAAGATTTCCGCGGGGCGGATGACGCTCGCGGATTCCGCTTTCTCCGAAAATACCGAGTCTCGCGGCTCGACTTTTCAAGAAATCGTAGGAGCAAAGAGGGGACGCGGACACACTTCGGTCGGCGGCAGTTGTTGACGCGAGGCTCCACCTCCGGATCTCTGAATCTCGGCCAGGATTAAATCAGGCGACTCGCCTCGAGACGTCGTCGTCGCCTAAGAAACGCAGCCGCGATTGCGGCGTTTCTTTCGACCGCCGAGATTCCTGGATACCCGCGTCAAGGAACGAAAGAGAGAGAGAGAGAGGGAAAGAAAGAGAAGAGCCATCGAAACGACAAATCGTAGCGATAAGTTCGAGAGGATCTAACCGTGGACGCTGTACGACTCGATTTAACTGCACAGTTGTGCCCATAATTATGAAAGTGGTCTAAGTCAAAATTAAAAAAAAAAAAATGAGTATCAGTTATTTCACGCCATATTATTTCAAACGAAATTAATTCAATGTAATTTCGAAACAAAAAATATATCACTTAGACCACTTTCATAATTATGGGCACAGTTATCGCAGGTATCGTAACTCGCGTGGTCACCTTAATCCTAAGGACAGCGGAATATTTTCCTTCGGTTTTTCAGGACCCCATGCGACACTTCAAAATGTCTTCCCTTGCTACTATACATTCCCTTGTAATCGAAATCTGGACGGAGAAGAAATAGAATGCCTCGATAATAATATGCACGGCGAGATTAGAGGGAGACGGTGGATTTTCCTTGGTCAGGACATTTTTCCAGAATGCCTGGTTTCTTGAAATTGTTGATGCCCTCCTTTAATCTTACATCTTTCCTCGTAATTGAAATTTTTCAGCCTTCCCAAAATAGCAAACGCGGATGTACTCTCACGTACAAAAAATAGAATGGCTCAAAAATAATATTTACGGCGAGATTAAAGGACACTAAACCTCGTCCAGGAAAACTTTCCAGGACAAAGACAATACCATTAACCCTGGAAATTTTCGATGCGCTCCCTTAACCTTGTACCTTTCTCGTAATTGAAATTTTCCTGCCTCCCAAAATAGCAAACGTCGATGCACTCTCACGTACGAAAAATAGAATGGCTCAAAAATAATATTTACGGCAAGATTAAAGGACACTAAACCTCGTCCAGGACAAAGATAATACCATTAACCCTGGAAATTTTCGATGCCCTCCCTTAACCTTGTACCTGTCCTCGTAATTGAAATTTTCCTGCCCCGCCAAAGCAGGAAACGGCAATGCACTCTCACGTACAGAAAAATAGTTGAAAAATATTTACGGCGAGATTACGGAAGGACATTAAAACCTACCAGGGTAGGAAATGATTGCCGGTAGGAAAGCCTCTCTCAGGTACCAAGGTACCCAACAGGTACCCCAGGTCCGAGGGGATATTACAGGAGGTGGATAGCCAGGACGAGGAGCCGTTTCCTTTTGAATACGAGAACCGCATAGGCCGGGTTTCCATCCCTGAGATGGGTCGACCCATGGAGGATCCCAAGGGATCCCTCCCGATAGGAAGAGGATAAGTCCCGATAGTTTCCTACAGTGATGAGCAAAATCGGTCTTGGCTTGGTCGTGTAAAAATTGTAAGACCATCGCTACCTGCCAGGAGTAGCTTGGACTGTAAATTCTCTACACAGCGAAAAAAAAAAAAAAAAAGACAAAGAAATATTTTGGTAATTCAAAGAATATCTGACTGGAATAAACCCAACGAAACTGGACGCAACGTTAATCCGTAATTATGACAATTAATTTGAGTCAAGTAATTATTCTTGGAGTGAACAAAATATTCCTTCGGTTCCATGAATTTCTTTTCTCTCAGGGTGTATAAGTGTATTTCGTTAATTGCTTAATAAAACGCGGAACAATATTCCAATCTCGATTACCCGGTCAAAGTTGACATTACTCATTCGAGAGGTTCAGAGAATGACATTTTCTGTCCAGTTTCACCAGGCTAAAAATCCCAGACTGCGTTACATTAATAACGCTATGATCTTTAAGCGCTTGCACTTGGCGCGAAACTCTACCGAGTTTCATAATAAAAAAGAAATTAATAAACAGCTGTATATATATATATATAATACTTTACGATGATGATTTCCCTAACTACGATGCAGTCATTTTTTCCCGGTTTAATCGCAACCGCCACGTAGACAGGATCTTCTCGCTACCATAAGATTTTTTATACTCTTTGCGGGGAACCAAAGAAGCAGGAATCTTATATTCCAAAACTGTACCCTCGAGTTTCTAAAAGAATATACGTTGGATTTGAGATTCACGTCTGGCCAAAGTCGGCCTTCCTTGTTTATGGACGGCCTAACCTAACCTAGAACCCGGCTTGTCCTGAAAACAGCCTCCCATTTATCTCCTTAAGACTTCTCCGCTAGATAAGAGTCCCTGATTATGAATCTCGAATCTCGGATAACCTCAAATCGTGGATAAGTACAAGTCCACGAACTCGACCCGTCGGCTCGACTTCCGGCGTTCAGAAGAGTCGACATAACCTAACTTCCAAATATACCGCGGCTCGTCGGAGACGCGTCCAAACCTGCCTCCGCGATTCCCAAACTCTCGGATGGGCCAAGATCGGGAATTTTAGACTTGGTCGCCCATCTACGCGTGCCACACTCCTGGTTTCAACGCTTCAAGAATACGCAGACAAAAAGTATACTAACTCCTATTCCGAAAGAAATGAACGGTTAGTTTGCAGGGTGAAGTATAAAGGCCGAGAATTAATTCCAACATTCGTCGCTCGTAGGAAACGCGTCCAAACTTGCATAAGCGATAGACAACAAATAACTTAAATTCTTATTTCTAAAAAAATTAATGTTTAATCTGCAAGATGAAATATAAAGGCCGAGAATTAATTCCAACATTCGTCGCTCGTAGGAAACGCGTCCAAACTTGCATACGCGATAGACAACAAATAACAACTCTTATTTCTAAAAAAATTAACGTTTAATCTGCAAGATGAAATATAAAGGCCGAGAATTAATTCCAACATTCGTCGCTTGTAGGAAACGCGTCCAAATTTGCATAAGCGATAGACAACAAATAACTTAAATTCTTATTTCTAAAAAAATTAATGTTTAATCTGCAAGATGAAATATAAAGGCCGAGAATTAATTCCAACATTCGTCGCTCGTCGCGACGCGTCCAAACTTGCATACGCGATAAACAAATAACTTAACCCTTATTTGTAAAAAAATTAACGTTTAATCTGCAAGATGAAATATAAAGGCCGAGAATTAATTCCAACATTCGTCGCTCGTAGGAAACGCGTCCAAACTTGCCTTCGCGATTCCGAAATTCTCGGACGGGCCAAGATCAGGAATTATAGACTTAGTCGCCCATCTACGCGTGCCATACTCCTGGTTTCAACGCCTCGCGATGGACAAACAATATCCTAACTCCCATTCCCCAAAAGTAAACATTTAATTTCCAAGATAAAATATAGAAGCCAAGAATTAAGTCCAACAGTCGCGCCGTCGGCCGGTTCGTCCCCTACCATACGGCGCCCTAACCTAACCTAGGACTCCGAACTCGGTTAATTCCAAAAACACTCCCAATTCTCTCTCCAAGATAACGCGTCTCCCCGAGATAAGAGTCCCTGATTATGAATTTAAATTCTCGAGCGTCCCCAGGTCGTGTACCATCACAAGTTCCGTACTCGACCCGTCGCCCCAACTTCTGGCGTTCAGGAGAGCCGACATAACCTAACTTCCAGGTGCACCGAAGTCCGAGTTCTCGATAGTTCGCGAGGTCAAGGTACGAAGTCGCGGACTCGGAGTTATCGGCGAGCAGCGGTGCCGTCGGGTAGGTCGACCTCGCGCCTTCGCGCTGGCACGGCGAAGGAAGGTAAAGAAAGAAGGGCATCCACTCACCTCTCACTGCGTGGCCGGTGTCTCTGCGAGCGTCGGCAGGGCCGCCTCAAAGCGTCATGACCTCGCCCGGGCCTCGGCGGTGTCCGGGCTCGTCCGTGCTGGCGGCCTCTCAGCGAGGCCCGGCCATCTTGCGGGGGCCTCTCGTGCGGCGGCGGGTCCAGTCGCGTCGTCGCGGGGTCCGCGCGGCCTCCTCGGCCGATTCCCGGGGTGCCTCAGAGTCCTGGCCACCGTTGGCGCGCCTGGAGGGCCGCCTGGGCGCAGAGCATAACTCACCGGGAGTGCGTCGGTCGCGGGCGCGTCCTCGCCTCGCCCGCCGGGACACTCGCGAAGCTGCAGGGGGCCGAGGGGCGCGCCGACTACCGCGAGTCGGGCCGACTTCTCATCCTCTCGGGCCTGGCTGCTCTGAGGGCTCCGTGATCGCAGCGCGCACGTCCGCGGTGACTCCGCGATCGAGGACTCGCTCGAGCCCGACTGGGCGCCGCTCGGGCGCGCTCGGCCGGGGTCGGCCGGACTCGGGTGGGCTCGGCGGCCTACGCCGGCGCTCGGCGGCCCGGCCGGCCGTGGCGCCGCCTGGCGGCGACGGCGCGCCCCGCGCAGGCGCGAGCGCCGTTGGAGGCGACGGATTCCGGGCCGAGAGTCGCCGCTCCACTTCTGGTCTCGCTGACCTCGCCTGGTAGGAACGACCTCCCGAGGCTTATCATGCTGAACGGGCGACGAGAAGCGTGCGGAGGTCGCCCCAGGCCCGAGCACGCCGGTAATCGGGCAGGCTCGCGGGGTAACGGGCTGGAAACGTGCAGGAACGGCGCCGAGGTCCCGCAGCTGCGTGCCCGGATACTGCCGCGGACGTTGGCCAAGATGGCGGCGCGCGCGCGGGGCGTGGCCGCGATTGGTCGGCCCGGCGGTCGGTCGGCCAATTGGCGCGCGTTCGCCGACCGTAGCCCCGGCTCCGCCGGCCCGAGTCGCGTATCGACGAAACTTTCGCGCCGCCGGCCGTGAGCCGAGCTTTGGCGAGCACGCACGGCCGCCGATTAAAAGGGCCGAGCCGTGTATGACGGCTTTATTAGGATTAACGCGGCTTCTCCTTGCGGCCCGACCTCGGGGACGCCGGTTCTTCCCCCGGACTCGAGTCGCTCCCTCTCTCCCGACCCTTTGCTGGCTCTTTCTAAGCGGCAAGTAATAATAACGCCAGCGCTCGTCGCCACGCGCGGCTGTTTTTATGAAACATAAAAATAGCGCGCCAGAGTCGACGCCACTGAAAACGGCGACTCCGCGGAGGTGGAGGCACGACGAGGGGGACCTGGCGTACATCCGAGTACACCCGGTAGCTCGAATTAACCGACTGTGCCGCCGGCACGAGGTCGCCGCTGCCGGTCGCGCCGCCGGCCAATCAGCGCGCCGCTCGCCCGCTGGGCCGCCGCGTGATTGGCGCGGGCAGTCGCTCCGCGGCTTTCCTCCGGGCCGGGTCACCGCGGACCAAGGGTAGGGACCCCGCTACTCGTCCACTCCCTTGATATTCTTTGGCAGAGAAAAGGGAGGAGAACGAATAGAGGGGCCATCCTTTCTCCCTCTGTTAATACAACCCCTTCGTTTCCTATTTTAATTCTGCATTTTGGATCGCATCCTACAACCACCGTTGCAGAGACAGGATCTCGTCCTCATCTTTACTTTTGGCCGTGTATGTAATCGTGTAGTAGTTGTGCTTCTATATGATGTTTATGAACTACGTTCTTAACGTGTCTCGAAAATATACGAACTGATGCAAAGAATGAGTAGTTCTGATTTTTTTAACCATCGGACGAACCCTCGATGGCGTCTCTACCCGAAAAGAGGAGTGGATTCGAATCGGAGTACATCTTGGATTTTTCCCGACTTACGTTAGTTCCTTCGTCAACAAGTGGCGATACGCGCGCGGGTCAAAGTTTGAGACCGTTCCCTATAACTTCTAAGTACAGGGAGGAACTACGATGCCGGTGACCCTGTAAAATTCGGAGTCGCCTTCAAATATTTTCAAGGTGGACCGTGGATCGGGAAGGATCGCTGGAATACCGGAGAGATTGCCTTTTTAGTCGGGAGAATATTATTTCAGGTGAACCTGGTTTCGTTTAAAGCGGATAATGCAGAAAACTCGTTATGGTCGTGGCTTCTCCACGGGAAAGTAAGGGGGAAGGGGTTGAGCATAAACTCCATAATACCGACGTAAATTACAGGACAGTCGTTTTGCACCGACAGAGTCAGTCCATATAACGCACCAAACTGCCGGGAAATCTAATACCGACCAAACTTACAGGTATGACCGGTATCACAATGCCCCCGGTGCGAAAGTTCGCTTCCCAGCGCGCACGATACGCCAGCGTGGCGCGCATAATACGGATGCAAATTACGGAATTACCTACGGGCGCAGATAGGACGCGCATGCACGCCGGAGTCTGGAAAATTTACAACGCGAGCAGTGGAGTCGCAGGTATAAGGAGTCAGGAGTACGAAGAAATGCGGGGGACACAATGGCGCCAGGTAGACGCCTCGCCAAGTGGAGGCCGGTGCGATTTCGAAAACCCCAGTTAAGCGCATCTATCAAGAATCTAGGAAGAAAGGAACGAGCCGTAAAGTTGGACTCCTAAATCTCAAGCTATAAGAAAAGACCGCTACAATACTGAAGAAATCGCGTTATGCATTGTATTAAAGGCCAGGAAACATGCAAATGTCAAAAATAATTACCGCGTACTGGAAAATATTTATTCCTTTCCAAGCGCGCAGGGAGGCGGCAACGCAAGATGGCCGCCGGCTCCCGGCGTCCCCCGCGCGTCTACCCTATCCAGATCTTGATTCTTCCTTCCATTCTCCATATAGAAGAAAGAAACGTATAAATTTTGTACGACGAAGTTTCTGGCGTATTTCGACTTATCGTTTACATCGGAACCTGGAGAGACGGTGATAAAGGGAGTTGGGAAAGTCGCCACCCCCAAGGACGATTTTTGTCGGGCCGGGGCCTGCGATGTCGGCCCTGACGTGACGTCAGCGGGCATTAAAGGCCAGCGGTTCTCGGGCAATGTTATAATTCCAATCAGGAAACCCGGCGACAATGCGTTACGGTACCTCCGGGTCTCCTCGGGAGCCGTAAAGCCCTCTCCCAATTTCCCTGGTTAATTTACGAAAGGCGCGACCCCCCGCGAGGTTTCGGACCTTGCAGGGCGACCTGGTCGCTGAATCTCTAACGTTTCGCCTCGGCCTCGGGGGTGGACCAATACTAGGAGAAGGCATGTCGGGGTACAGGGAATAACCTAGAAATAAGGAATCATTTATTGCAAAGGCGGCGTTTACATTGCAGGAATTGCCCCATGCAGTTACGACGTGGGTGTAAACCCACGGTTAATCATTTCGTGAGAATTTTCAAATCCAGCGTCATCCAAGATGGCGGCGAGGCGAGCTTTGCCGATCGTGCAATTATACAGTATAACAGCTAACCAGTAAAAAAAGAAATAGATTAAAAGAAAATATTGTGGATAGATATTCTTTCTCATAGTGTTTGATATATTTTCGATACCTCTGAATAAATACCAGAGAATTGAATTATTGCAATATTGTCAATAGGTATCGTATTAGTCCCATCACTAGTCATACTGCCGTTGGACGGCACAAGTACCGAATGCCGAATTACTTCTCTTGTCTCGTTTTATGAGCATCCCGTACTTTTTGGATAGACGGCTAGAAGTACTAAGTACGGTTGGAAATACTTGTAGGTAGGTATACATCGAGGATATGCTTCGGATAATCCCCTAACCTTCTTTTATTTCAGACGAACGGTCATTTGGCCATCGCGGGGCCTAATTCTGGGAAAACTTCTAGGCAGGTGAAAACCTAACCTCCTGACATTTCGCTCGGGAATGAATTCGCGTGACATGGAGAAATGTCTTTATTATCATGAGAATACGCGCCACGCGTTGCGTGGTACACGTGGAAGCGGAGTATCCGTTAATAATTGCAAAACCCGTAATTAGAGGTGACGTGTGAGAGATAATTGCAGCGTATAACACTGGAGCACGAGTCGCCATGGCGAGGCTCGTTTTTCATCGTTAACCCGCGAGTGAAAAAAATAGTATCACTGGATATATAAGAATTAAACGCTGGGAGGTATTAAAGAGAGCGACGTAAACGCGCGCGCTAAAGTAGTGGCTTCTTAAAGGGGATAGCACGCTCTGCATAGGAAAGTCCCCCTTGAGTTTCCGCAGCGGTTTCTCCGCCATTCATTTGCACCAGAAGTTTCTATCGCGTCTAGAACGATTCGCTGGGCTGGTCCACTGTTTTTTAGTACGTAGTTTACGGGCGACGCCACGTCTACATCGACGGGTTTTTGGTGCTTCGCAGTTTGTTCCAACTACGCGACGTAGGGGATCGTCGTCGCATTCGCTTCTGCCACGCAGTTGCAAATGCGATTCGCAGCGTGCGCGGCGCTTTCTGGGGCTGACTGAAACGCGAGAGTGAAAGAGAAATGCAGAAAGAAGAGGAGGGGAATGGCGCGGGAAGTGGGTTAAGACCGCTACGCGTTGGAAAGAAGCGCCGACCGCCGCGGTTCCGATTCGAGGAAAACGTTACAAAATCTATTAACCCTTTGACTCGAGCAGGACCTATGAAATGCACCGAGTTATCTCGACTAAGGTATAAAATGGTTAACGTTAGTCGAAACTCGGGGAAACGCGTATTTCTCCCGTCGATTATCTCGAAAATCGACGCGACGCAAGATGGCCGCCGTCCTTTGAATCTCGCGGCTTCTTCGCGTCCGAATTCACAGGGTAGTTCGTAACAACAGAAAGTTTGAGGAAAATCTTATAAAGTGCGTTAACAGTTCGGGATGAAACGATTAATATCAGGCCAAAATCGTATAAACAGGCTTTTATTGCCCTGATAATATCGGAAATCGGCGCAACGCAAGATGGCCGCTCGTCCGTAAGATTCGGGGCTTCTTCGTGTCTGAATTTACGGGATAGGTCGTAAGAAGACAAAGTTTTAGGAAAATCTTATAAAGTGTATTAACAGCTTGGGATGAAACGATTAATATCAAGCCAAACTCGGGTGAACAGGTTTCTCTTGCCCCGCTAATGTCTAAAACAGCGCAAAGCAAGATGGCCGCCGCTCGTCCGTGAAATTTTGGGCGTCTTCCCTCGTGTCTGAATTCACGGGGAACTTGATGCTCGGGGTGGTTCGCGGAGGAACGCGGCTAGGTTCAGTCGGGTTCACTCCGGTCCACTTCCACAAAGTCCACGTCGGACTTTCCACCGCTACTCCCCCGACGCACTCGAAATTCGATCTCACCCGGACTTGGAGGTAATCCCGCCCCTCCCTCGCTGCCCGCATTTCCCCTCCAGCGGTCGCCGTCTGTCTCCCTCCTAGTCTCCCCACCAGCCGGCGCGATAGGTCCGTCTCGCTCACTCCCTCCTCGGCGCGCCTCCGCCCCTCTCT